GTTTTTTTCCCTCTCTCCTTGTTGTGTTAGCTAGCTACATGGATTATTGTAATCTACACTGAACAAAAATATAACCGCAACATGTAAAATGTTGGTCCCATGTTTCATGAGCTGAAATAAAAGATCCCAGATATTTTCCATATGCACAAAAAGCTTATTTCTCTAAAATTTTGGGCAGAAATTTGTTTACATCCCTGTTAGTGAGCATTTCTCCTTTGCCAAGATATCCATGCACTTGACAGGTGTGGCATATCAAGAAGCTGATTAAACAGCATGATCATTACACAGGTTCACCTTGTGCTGGGGACAATAGAAGGCCACTCTAAATGTGCAGTTTTGTCACAACACAATGCCACGGATGTCTCATGTTTTGAGGGTGCATGCAATTGGAATGTTGACTGCAGGAATGTCAACCATTTCTCTAACATAAACCAGTTGTTTTAGAGAATTTGGCAGGCCATCCAACTGGCCTCACAACCGCAGACCACGTGTATGGCATCATGTGGGCAAGAGGTTTGCTGATGTCAACGTTGTTTGCCCCATGATGGCGGTTTGGTTATGGTATGGGCAGGCATAAACTACTGACAACTAACACAATTGCATTTCTTCGATGGCAATTTAAATGCACAAAAATACCATAACGAGATCCTGAGGCCCATTGTGAGGCCCATTTTGTAAAAAAAATATGTATCTGTGACCAACAGATGCATATCTGTATTCCCAGTCATGTGACATCTATTGATTAGGGCCTCATTTATTTATTTCAGTTGACTGATTTCCTCATGAACTGTAACTCAGTAAAATCAACGAATATGTTGCATTAATATTTTTGTAAAGTATAGTTATGTCTTGCTCCTGCTGTCGGATGTGGCAGGGCTTGAAAACTATTACAGACTACAAAGGGAAGCACAGCCGCGAGCTGCCCAGTGACACAAGCCTACCAGACGAGCTAAACCACTTCTATGCTCGCTTCGAGGCAAGCAACACTGAAGCATGCATGAGAGCACCAGCTGTTCCGGATGACTATGTGATCACGCTCTCCGTAGCCGATGTGAGTAAGACTTTTAAGCAGGTCAACATTCACAAGGCCGCAGGGCCAGACGGATTACCAGGACGTGTACTCCGAGCATGTGCTGACCAACTGGCAAGTGTCTTCACTGACATTTTCAACATGTCCCTGACTGAGTCTGTAATACCAACATGTTTCAAGCAGACCACCATAGTCCCCGTGCCCAAGGACTCTAAGATAACCTGCCTAAATGACTACCGACCCGTAGCACTGACGTCTGTAGCCATGAAGTGCTTTGAAAGGCTGGTCATGGCTCACATCAACAGCATTATCCCAGAAACCCTAGACCCACTCCAATTTGCATACCGCCCTAACAGATCCACAGATGATGCAACCTCTATTGCACTCCACACTGCCCTTTCCCACCTGGACAAGAGGAACACCTACGTGAGAATGCTATTCATTGACTACAGCTCAGCATTCAACACCATAGTGCCCTCTAAGCTCATCACTAAGCTAAGGATCCTGGGACTAAACACCTCCCTCTGCAACTGGATCCTGGACTTCCTGACGGGCCGCCCCCAGGTGGTAAGGGTAGGTAACAGCACATCTGCCACACTGATCCTCAACACGGGGGCCCCTCAGGGGTGCGTGCTCAGTCCCCTCCTATACTCTCTGTTCACCCATGACTGCATGGCCAGGCACGACTCCAACACCATCATTAAGTTTGCCGACGACACAACAGTGGTAGGCCTGATCACCGACAACGATGAGACAGCCTATAGGGAGGAGGTCAGAGATCTGGCCGTGTGGTGCCAGGACAACAACCTCTCCCTCAACGTGACCAAGACAAAGGAGATGATTGTGGACTACAGGAAAAAAAAGAGGACTGAGCACGCCCCCATTCTCATCGACGGGGCTGTAGTGGAACAGGTTGAGAGCTTCAAGTTCCTTGGTGTTCACATCACCAACAAACTATCATGGTCCAAACACACCAAGACAGTCGTGAAGAGGGCACGACAAAGCCTATTCAGGAGACTAAAAAGATTTGGCATGGGTCCTCAGATCCTCAAAAAATTATACAGCTGCACCATCGAGAGCATCCTGACTGGTTGCATCACCGCCTGGTATGGCAACTGCTTGGCCTCCGACCGCAAGGCACTACAGAGGGTAGTGCGTACGGCCCAGTACATCACTGGGGCCAAGCTTCCTGCCATTCAGGACCTCTATACCAGGCGGTGTCAGAGGAAGGCCCTCAAAATTGTCAAAGACTCCAGCCACCCTAGTCATTACATTTACATTTACATTTTAGTCATTTAGCAGACGCTCTTAACCAGAGCGACTTACAGGAGCAATTAGGGTTAAGTGCCTTGCTCAAGGGCACATTAACGTCATTTAGCAGACGCTCTTAGCCAGAGCGACTCACAAATTGGTGCGTTCACCCTATAGCCAGTGGGATAACCACTTTACAATTTGGGGGGGGGGGGGGGTTAGAAGGAATACTTTATCCTATCCCAGGTATTCCTTAAAGAGGTGGGGTTTCAAATGTCTCCGGAAGGTGGTGAGTGACTCCGCTGTCCTGGCGTCGTGAGGGAGCTTGTTCCACCATTGGGGTGCCAGAGCAGCGAACAGTTTTGACTGGGCTGAGCGGGAGCTGTGCTTCCGCAGAGGAAGGGGAGCCAGCAGGCCAGAGGTGGATGAACGCAATGTCCTCGTTTGGGTGTAGGGACTGATCAGAGCCTGAAGGTACAGAGGTGCCGTTCCCCTCACTGCTCCATAGGCAAGCACCATGGTCTTGTCATAGACTGTTCTCTCTGCTACCGCACGGCAAGCGGTACCGGAGTGCCAAGTCTAGGTCCAAAAGACTTCTCAACAGCTTCTACCCCCAAGCCATAAGACTCCTGAACAGCTAATCATGGCTACCCGGACTATTTGCACTGCCCCCCCACCCCATCCTTTTTACGCTGCTGCTACTCTGTTAAGTATTTATGCATAGTCACTTTAACTCTACCCACATGTACATATTACCTCAACTACCTCAACTAGCCGGTGCCCCCGCACATTGACTCTGCAACGGTACCCCCCTGTATATATAGCCTCCCTACTGTCACTTTATTTTACTTCTGCTCTTTTTTTTCTCAACACTTTTTTGTTGTTGTTGTTTTATTTTTACTTTTTTTGTTTAAAATAAATGCACTGTTGGTTAAGGGCTGTAAGTAAGCATTTCACTGTAATGTCTGCACCTGTTGTATTCGGCGCATGTGACCAATAAAATTTGATTTGATTTGATTTGATCTATAACGTTAGCTGGCTGTCAATGGTTGTTGCAGTAAACTGTGGGCCACACCCTCGCCTCGCTCACTTTCGCTGCACCTCTTATCCTCTGCTTTGTGCACCAAAACACCACTCTTCTCCGTATTGTTAGTCTGGTCATTTCAGCTTGAATGTACGATAACTAGCCACAACTATTGACATTGCTAGCTAGCTATCTAGCTAACCACGTAATGCACCAGTGATTAGCTAAAATAGTAGCTAGCTAGCTTGCTAAAAATCCATCCGTTTCCAGAATTGCCAGTATAGAACACATGCAGATCGGTATCAACCTGTACAGGTGCACATTTCAGGAGCAGCCACCCTTGATGAAGGAAATAGCGTCTACTATTGGCTAATAAGAATTAAATGAACGAATATGATTGGCTTTTAAACGTTTTTCAAAATAGTGGCCATCGTTCGGTTTTACTGCGCGGTGGAGGCAAACGTGCAGCGCACAACACTCTAGGATGGATTATAGGAGCGCTGTGGGACAGTCTCCTGCTTGTACAGTAGACTGTCGATAGACTAGTGATTCTAGCCGTATAGTAATAAACATATCTGCGATTTATGAAAATCTGTTTGAATAGTGTAATTATTATAAATGAGAGGAAAACCTATGTATTTAATATGTATTTAGACAATTAAATAGGCAGTGCTATAATACAATTATGGGTAGCCTATACAGCCTAATTATGAGAGGCATTACCATTGATTAAAAATAACAAAATAATCGCTCAAAATTAGCACTGTGGCCTACTACAAAAGGAAACGTCATCGTGGGTGGAGTTATCACATGATATGAGCAACCACAAAAATGTACCTGCAATGATTTACCTTGCCACACCTGTCAAACAATCCACCCTTACTCGAGTTTCACTTTACGACCTAGTCTGACAAACACTGCCTCCGCCAATTCCACGTATTTACTTGATTAAAACATCCTATTTGAATCTCATGGAGCAGCCTAGACGTCGGGTAAGTCAGTCTAACAACGACTAACTAAGTACATGTTCAAAGTTCCTTATGTCATGGATTTCATGACACTGGATAGGTAGGATAAGGTCCAGTATCTATAGACCAGAGAGACCCACAAAAATGTTTTAGCGATGTGGACATTGTGCGGAAACGGAGAGCGCAATGTTGCCGCAAAAACAGATACTGTAAACCAGACCCACAAAACAAGTTTTTGCGACAACAATTACTTATTCTGTAAAGTTCTCTGTTCACGTACCACGCCTAAATTAAAGTAGGAATACTTATTTCCTTATTACTAGTAGTAGAATATAAATCAATATCTCTCATGTGTGCGTGCAGTGGGCATTAGAATGTTGATAAATCCCACTTCATACAGGAAAGTACACTTCCTTCATCCATTTAAAGATTCAAAATCAAAGTTCAATGCTCACTGATGACTCTCAGCTCATTAGTTTATCAAATAGATTGGCATTACTGTGTGCCTGCAAACCATTGTTTTATCGCTCTTCCCTTTCAGGTGAATCAGTAGGACTTGCCCTTATGAGAATTAGGTTTTCTACCAACTTGTTTTATGGAATATAATTTTTAACCGAAAGGTAAATAGTCACTTTGCAGAAAAACAGACAGACTGGCCAATAATTGCACACACAACACATAGCCTAGACAGGAATATCATACAGACAGAGACAGGCGAGAAACAGTGATGTCAGTGCACCTGACTTTAAATCCAGATGAAGACCATGCCGGAGGGCCTTCTAAAACCAGTGGGACTACTGCTGCAGGACCACAAACACCTGGAGCGGAACAACAGGGCCCAGAGCACAGGAGGACGGAAGAAGAGAAGTGGGAAGAGGATGAGAAGCAAGAGAAGGAGAAGGAGAAAGCAACCAGCTCAGCTGCCTTGGAGCCTAGCACTTTGCTATGCCTGGGAGACAGAGAGCGAGAGGGAGAGAAAGGAGGTGTAGCGTCCGAGAGCGAGGGAACTGAAGGGGATGAGGAGGAGGAGAGGGAGGCAGAGAGGAGAGTAGGGAGTCCAGAGCTTCTGGAGGGACAGGAGAGCCAGCCAGAGAGTGAGCGAAAGGCAAAATGGAGAGAGAGCATGCCGGAGGGAGAGAGATGGAGGGATGATGAGGTGGAGGGAGGCGAGGAAAGGGATGGTTCGCTTGCAGATGATGAGGAAGAGGGGGAGGAAGGCCCAGTGAATTGGATGCCAGAGAAGGTTGCGCAGGTCTTCACTCCGACAGTGATAGTGCGTCCATCTAGCAAACGGGAGGAGTTCCCACTCGAAAATAGCCACTATGGGGAGATGGACACTGAGAGTCCTTTCTTAGAGCCCCAGACACATACAGCCCCACCAGTACACTACTACCCACAGTGGACAGAGGATCCGGACAACCACACACGTATGTACCAGTGCCGGACCAATACCATTAACACTAATTGGGGTCAGTTCCATTTAAGTTCTAATCAGTTTAGGGATTGAAGTGCATTCCTATGAAAAAAGACATTTGTCATTATGTAAAATGTTCAATATACAGTATATCAACACAACTGGATTCTAAAAAATGTAGGTTACATGATCGTTTATCTGAGCCTTTCCCCTCTGATTAGACATGTTTTAGCTCTAATGGCTCCCCAATGGTGGAACCAGGTTCCCCCTGAAGCTAGGAAAACAGTCACTGCCCATCTCTTGAAAACATCTGAAACCCTGCCTTTTTAAAGAGTATCTTAAATAATCCCACAGCAGCACCTCCTCACCCCTTACATTGCTGATAGCTACTTTATTGAGGAAAAATGTACTTACTGTGATATGTGGTTGTCCCACCTAGCTATCTTAAGATGAAAGTTGCTCTGGATAAGAGTGTCAGCTAAATTAATAAAATTAAAAAATGTATATCTCTTTCATGTTGTGAGAAATTGGTATGAAAATGGTAATGTAAAATATGAGGTACTATAATAAGAGGAAGTCTATAGATATTTCCTATTGTCATTGACCAAAGAAATGGGTGTAGTTTTATTAGATTTTTTCTTTTACATTTCTTACTTCATTTTTATTAATACTTTTTGAGTTTTTATTGTATTTTAAAAACAAACTGTTCCCCTTGTTTGGCTGTAGTTTTATTGAACCCAGAATCCTCTGTTATTTAGATATGTGTGGCGGTGTTTGTGGGGATGTTCTGAAACTTGGCCTGGGCATTGGTGCTGCAGCTGTTCTCTTCCCTCTACTTGTGTGGGGCGGCTATGCCCTTTTGCCCTTTGATGCCCCGCCACTGGACAGCGCCCCTCTCAGGCTGGTGTACACACTGCGCTGCTCCTTCTTTGCTGTCATACCCATCATGCTAGGTAAGACTGTGGACTAATAGGGTTGGGCTGTGATATGTTATCACCTTTTAGAGATTATTGAATAGACTCTAAATGTTTGTTACTTCTTTACTCTTGGTAATGCTAATGTTTTTAGAACTTTTCTGGAACTCTCCCAATCATCCTCTACCTTTGGCCCTCCCTGCACTGTCTTCCTCTTCCCTCCACCCATCTCTTCTCCTCCCATCTTTCCCCTCCCACCCCCTCTCCCAGGTGTGCTGGTGCAGGGGGTGGCGCGTCTGCGCTACGGCTCCCTGACGCCCGTCTACGAGGCCAAGGTGGGGAAGGAGAGCAGGGAGGTGGCGGTCCACCGGAACTACGTGGGCGACTCGCTCTCCCTCTTCCTGCTCTACTTCCTGCAGCTGGCCGTCATGGCCACCTACATCAGCCAGGACCTGCTCAAGATGGTGCCCCTGCTCACCATTGTCTTTGCCTTCGGCAGGTGAGTGTCTGTCTGTCTGTGTGTTTCTGTATGTTCACTACTCAGTCTCAGTTGTAGCAGTGCATTCTACATTGTATGTTTATGTTTATTTGTGTGTGTGTTTGGTTATGCGCATTCAATCTGCAGTTAGCAGAGATGCAGCCGATGTGGAATCACTAGATCGTTTTGAGATTGGGCATGCGTATGCAGTGCAGTCAGCCTAAAACGCAGCATTGTTCCCTTTCTCAACAAGGGCAATGGCTTTTGTGGAGGGATTGGTAACGTTGCTTCGTTGGTGCGGCATGGGTTGTGTTGTGCAGAAAGGGCCTGGTGTGTGTGCGTGCATGGGTAGTAGTATTCCCTTATCTCTAGTGTTCCCTCAAATGTTTTTGGGCACTGAGCAGATTTCAGGTCTGCTGAGCACAAACTTGAACGTTGTGAAAATTCTGTGCAACTTCCAGCGCGTGTTTACTGAGAACACTGAGGCTATACAGTGGTCCTCTGTAGCTCAATTGGTAGAGCATGGCGCTTGTAACGCCAGGGTAGTGGGTTCGATCCCCGGGACCACCCATACGTAAAAATGTATGCACACATGACTGTAAGTCGCTTTGGATAAAAGCGTCTGCTAAATGGCTTATTATTATTATTTAAGTTACAGTTTTAACAGTGGCCTGATCATTTAGGCCTATCAGAGTGGCCTACCATCAAAAACTATGGAGAAAATGCATCCCATAACATTTTAACATGGAAATAGCTGTTCTATCATTCAGCCTACAGTAGCAGCCAATGTTGTTTGTTCTGTGTAAGCCTACATTCCATGAGACTTTTGAAAAAAACATGCAGGGCTTGACATTAACCTGTTTATCCAATGAAAATGTTGTTGTGTGTTTTGATGCAAGAAACCACTTTACAAAATAAAATGCATTATTATTCCCATACCATTATTACAGAGAATCAGACAAATTATGCTACCCTCTGCCTATTGGCTACTTAGCTTATTCAAGCCTGTCTCAAAATACAACACTGCCCCTTTAAGACAAATAAAAGCTCTTTACCTGACTCGCTTTTCAAAGAAATGTACATGTTTGTGCTCTTGTATGAAGCAATCACTCTCTTATTGCTGACCACAAATTATCTATAACTGGGCTAATAATTCACTAACTAGCAAAGGAAATGAACAAAATGTGCAGGTGCAAAGCGAGAGCTACATGCAGCTCTCGCTTTGATCTGAAAACAAGCGCATCTACTCACGACCGCTCATGCTGTAAACACAGTCCAGTTCAAAGTAAATGGCACAGACCCATATGGCAATGGTCTATTTGCATATAGGGCTACTGCAGCTCTGATTGTTTATGCTGCTTGTTAATGCAATAGAATCCTACTCTGATGCGTTCTGCCTACAACAAAATCTCTTGCATAGTTTGTTTTGTTTCGGTGTGTTGCATTGAAAGTGGCTAATATTGCGTTGATTAGATCACAATTGCCACAGTCAAGGGAAACATTGATAGTGTTAACAGGGAAAACTCTAAAACAGTGGTCACCAACCTTTTTTGAGTCAAGATCACTTTCTGAGTCAAAATGCAAGCCGAGATCTACCGCTCAGATATTTTTTTACATGGCTTAAAAAACGTAAGCCTCTGCAACATTAACCAATTAAAAACAGTTCTGTAGCAATTAGGTTTTGTGCAGTAAGCTATAGGCCCAATACATTACATTATCACTGCATATTGGCTTTGAGTGAATTGCCCTGCCAATGCATTGTTGTTCTGGCCAAAATTTGAGGTATGCTAAATGATCACACCTGTAATAGATCTGTTGTTGTATTACTTGTGAGGCACAGCTGAGTAAGCATACATTTAAATAATTCGCTTTTTATTAGCATTTTACTGGGCTGATTGTACCTACATCTGATGGTCAGTCTCAGCGGAGGGAGAGAGCAGCAGACTGAGGGTCCGCCTCTCAACATCCCTCCACTCTCCCTTTCCTCCACTGACACTGACCAAAAAGGGACACCGTCTTCCAGCTGATGGCGAAACTCGTCGCACCGCATTATTTCTGCCTCATGCACAAATTCATGTTGTTACTCCTATGAACAGAGAAAGTGAAATGTTCCTCGAAATAAAAAATAACCCAAGCTGCTAATAATAACAACAACGCAAGCCTATAGATACACTTTCCTACTCATTCATTACTGCTGCAGTGCTTGTTTTAGCGCTGAGTGGAAATAGGAAGAACGCGCATTTTATGTTGACAGTGCTGAGTAAGAACTTAAACGAACTCACTCATCAAAACAGCAGCTCTGTACTGTATTTGTTGAGTCTCTCTCTAGTCATGGTTTTGAACGTTTTGAAATCTCACAGTATCAACTTTGCTGTAGCTTTCTTTTATGCCTGCTACGTTACTGCAGAAACGATTGGCCAGCGGTAGGCCTATTGTGCACTTGATTTGCTCTCCAGGCCCACCGGGAAGGCAGAGTTTGTACCTTCAGACACATGAAATGGTTCAAAATGGCAACAGTTGCCTACCCGGCGTGCAGGGCAGCTGATTCGGGTTCACCTACTGGCAACAGCCCAAGACAAATAAAACAAAAAATAGGAACACAAGGCTTTATCGTTGGGTTTTTTGCAGAAATGTTCTAGAAGTTGAGTGAAATTCAATCTCGTGCTTCTCTCTGCGGGCTGATATTTCTTCTGCGCGGCAGTCCCAGAGGGAACATTGCTTATCACCGATTCATACTTTCACCCAACATTGTCATCATTATCTTTTCTAACCTTATATAATGTCTGTAAACACTTGTTTACATACATTCTCTGTATATTATCTCCATGTTCTCTGACCCATAGAATGATCTGGTGTTTGTCTTTCTGTATTAGTTTCTTGAGCCTTCTGTGGGAGATTTGAATTTGTCTTGGCAGGAAGTATCTTCAAATGACTATGCAGTCTACCTTAAAAGTTAGACTGTGGCAGTATGACAGCACTTACTAATATTCACTGAATATGGGTGAGTTCGTTTAACAAGGAGTTTGCAGATTTTAGACCATTTCATTGGTCCTTATGTGAAATCTACACCCACCCGGGGCACTGGGCTATGCAAAACTCACCCCATGTCCCTTCTTCTTCTTTTGGCTGATCTACTGGGTTTGTGTGACCCAATTGGCTGATCTTGTTGTGATCTCTCACCCTACAGGCTGATCTACTGGGTCTGTGTGTCCCTAGGCAGCAGTGTGAGGGCTTTGGGCTTCGGCCTCTCCTTCCTGCCCATACTGGTCATGCTGGGTGCCAACCTCTACTTTGTGTGCTCATCACTCAGTGAAGGGTCGGTCTTTGATGTGGCCCCGCCCACCACCGCCCCACCTCCCAGGCAGAGGTGGTGGGGCTAGGAGGAAGAGGAGTAGATACGAGTGGCGCAGTGGTCTCCCGAGTGGCGCAGTGGTCTAAGGCACTGCATCGCAGTGCTAGCTGTGCCACTAGAGATCCTGGTTCGAATCCAGGCTCTGCTGTAGCCGGCCGCAACCGGGAGACCAATGGGGCGGCGCACAATTGGCCCAGCGTCGTCCAGGGTAGGGGAGGGAATGGCCGGCAGGGAGGTAGCTCAGTTGGTAGAGCATGGCGTTTGCAGCGCCAGGGTTGTGGGTTCGTTTCCCACGGGGGGGCAGTATGAAAAAATAATAATGTATGCACTAAAACTGTAAGTCGCTCTGGATAAGAGCGTCTGCTAAATGACATAAATGTAAAATGTAAAATACGCCCAATCCTGAAGCTTAAATGGACCCCCAGTCAGGATTAGATATGATACTGTAGGAATAAGTTACATGGTAATACGTCCACTTTGCCTTCTGATAGACCAGAGGCACGTTCCTTAGGCAAACGTTGTGCAACGTTGCAGATAGAAATGTATTCCTTACTCTACATGTCGAGATACAAGTCTGTTCTCCACAATATAACACACAAATTCCCCAATGTTTTGCCCTACTGAAGAGTTTGAGTGAGGAGTTAGACAATTGTTGGCACCCACTCAGCTCTACACAAGTGTCATGGTGTTAATTTGGAAGGAGAGGGAGAAGAATCAAGTTCATCAGCATGGATTTCATGTCCTTCATCTGGAACATATTGGATCGCATTGAACAATGGTTTATGGAGAACTAGACAATGTATTAAGATGATGTGAGGCTAGAAACAGTTAGCTACCCCAATGAAGTTGCATATAATTGAAGGATTGTGATATAAAGTGTCTTATGCCATACATAAGCAATAGTATGCCATACATAAGCAATAGTAGTAAAGACATCAAAACGATGAAATAACACATGGAATCTTGTAGTAACCAATAAAGTGTTAAACAAATCTTAAATATTTTATATTTGAGATTCTTCAAAGTAACCACCCTTTGCCTTGATGACAGCTTTGCACACTCTTGGCATTCTCTCAACCAGCTTCAACCTGGAATACTTTTCCAACAGTCTTGGAGTTCCCACATATGCTGAGTACTTGTTGGCTGCATTTCCCTCACTCTGTGGTCCAACTCATCCCAAAACATCTCAATTGGGTTGAGGTCGGGTGTTTGTGGAGGCCAGGTCATCCGATGCAGCACTCCATCACTCTCCTTCTTGGTCAAATAGCCCTTACACAGCCTGGAGGTGTGTTGGGTCATTGTCCTGTTGAAAAACAAATGATAGTCCCACTAAGCGCAAACCTGATGGGATGGTGTATCGCTGCAGAATGCTGTTGTAGCCATGCTGGTTAAGTGTGCCTTGAATTCTAAATAAATCACTGACAGTGTCACCAGCAAAGCAACATCACACCACCACCTCCATGCTTCACGGTGGGAACCACACATGCGGAGATCATCCGTTCACCTACACGGCTGTTGGAACCAAATATCTCAAATTTGGACTCATCAGACCAAATGACAGATTTCCACTGGTCTACTGTCCATTGCTCGTGTTTTTTGGCCCAAGCAAGTCTCTTCTTATTGGTTTCTTTGCAGCAATTCGACCATGAAGGCCTGATTCACACAGTCTCCTCTGAACAGTTGATGTTGAGATGTGTCTGTTACTTGAATTCTGTGAAGCATTTATTTGGGCTGCAATTTCTGAGGCTGGTATCTAATTAAATTATCCTCTGCAGCAGAGGTAACTCTGGGTCTTCCTTTCCTGTGGCGGTCCTCATGAGAGCCAGTTTCATCATAGTGGTTTTTGCGACTGCACTTGAAGAAACTTTCAAAGTTCTTGACATTTTCCGTATTGACTGACCTTCATGTCTTAAAGTAATGATGAACTGTCGTTTCGCTTTGCTTATTTGAGCTGTTCTTGCCATAATATGGACTTGGTCTTTTACCAAATAGGGCTATCTTCTGTATAAAGGAAAGAAATTCCACAAATTAACTTTTAACAAGGCACACCTGTTAATTGAAATGCATTCCAGGTGAAGCTGGTTGAGAGAATGCCAAGAGTGTGCAAAGCTGTCAAGGCAAAGGGTGGCTACTTCGAAGAATCTCAAATATAAAAAATATTTTGATTTGTTTAACATTTACATTTTAGTCATTTAGCAGACGCTCTTATCCAGAGCCACTTACAGTTACTCTTACATTATTTATTTATTTATTTATTTTTCATACCCCCTGTGGGAATCGAACCCACAACCCTGGCGTTGCAAACACCATGCTCTACGAACTGAGCTACATCCCCTACATTTAACACTTTTTGGTTACTACATGATTCCATATGTGTTATTTCATAGTTTTGATGTCTTCACTATTATTCTACAATGTAGAAACTAGTAAAAATAAAGAAAAACCCTTTAATGGAGTAGGTTTGTCCAAACTTATGACTGGTACTGTACATTGTCCAGTTTGTATATGGCAGCCAGCCAGCTCATAATTGTTATATTCCTTTTGGACATCGTCTTTCAATGTTTACACTGTCTTAATGGAACTATGTGATGTTTCTCATAATAAAGCAGCTAAAATTCCTGCTTTATGTCATGACATGAAGTCAAAGGATGAGCAGTGGTGTGTATTCATGGATGCTAAGGGAAGCCAGGCTTCCCCAAGAAATCGACCAAGAAAAACATACAAAATAACGTCTTTAGCCTCGGTGTTTCATACTTTTCCTTCACTTTGCAAGAGGCTGAATGTATCCCACCGGAAAAGCGTCAGAGCGAACAAAACAGCGCCCCTCTGTCTCAGTATGTGTGGCATATCTATCCGATGCTGCCTGGTCAAAAATAATATTACATTGTTGCAGCCCATAGCATTGAATGCAAGGGAAGCCAACAAGCATTTGGCCCTCCTTGATAATTTTTTAAAATAAAATAATAGCCAATCAGCGTTGAACTAAACTGAGTGAGCTCATCTGTGAATGGTCCTAGCACGACAAAAACTCTACGGGATCGTTGTCCCGTATACGGGACAGTTGAGCTAACGTGCGCTAATGTGATTAGCATGACTGTTGTAAGTAACAGAAAACTTTCCAGGACATAGACATGTCTTATATGGGCAGAAAGCTTAAAATTATTGTTAATCTAACTGCACTGTCCAATTTACAGTAGCTATTAGTGAAAAAAAAAACATGCTATTGTTTGAGGAGAGTGCACAACAACAAAAAACGTATCACGGCAACTGGTTTGATACATTCACCTCTGAAGGTAAATAATGTTCCATCAGTAATCTTGCTCTAATTTGTCATCCTAAGGGTCCAAGAGATAAAATGTAGCATAGTTTTGTTTGATAAAATCAATTTTTATATTAAAATGTAGGAACTGGGTTCTACAGTTTGAACCCCTGCTTTCTCTGGCTCCACACTCACCCCGTCAGGCCATCTAGATGTGTGAAAGTTAGTGTATAAGCTAATGATCTATCATGTATGACATTCCTGGGAGTGTGTAAACTTACATTTTGAATTACCATATAATTTTTGTATGTTCTCTATAGTTATGTACTTAAATGTATCAATTGACCAATTCGGCACATTTGGGCAGACTTGATACAAAATAGTCCAGTTTTACAACGCTTCACTGGATCAATCTGAAACTTTGCACACACACTGCCATCTAGTGGCCGAAATCCAAATTGCGCCTAAACTGCAATATATGGTGGCCTTTCTCTTGCATTTCAAAGATGATGGAACAAAAAAATTAATATAATTTTTTTTTTGTTTGTATTATCTTTTACCAGATCTATTGTTAGTCTCCTACATAATTTCAAATTTCCACAAACTTCAAAGTGTTTCCTTTCAAATGGTATCAAAAATATGCATATCCTTGCTTCAGGTCCTGAGCAGTTACATTTGTCATTTTAGGCGAAAACTGAAAAAAATGATCCGATCCTTAAGAGGTTAAGGGAAGCCAGTTTGTGATTGGTCTGAAGCCAAATCCAATCACATCAGAAGCCAAAAGTCATTGACAGAAAACTTTAATCGTTGCATCTCGTTGTGTCATTGTCCTCCGGTGGCTAGCTAGCTAAAATTGGCCCTTTCCTAAATTAGCTATGGATGGAGATAGAGATTTGGACTTTTGGTTTTACTTAATTCTCCATACTGACCATTGATTATAATGGTGATTCTGATCCAACCATAAATTAATACATTGTGCCCCTGGCCTGAGAGGATGGAAGTTCAACATGTAGCATGCTAATGTTAACCTCTTAAGGATCGCACCCTTAATTATTATTTTTTTGTTGCCTAAAATGACATACCCAAATCTAACTGCCTGTAGCTCAGCACCTGAAGCAAGGATATGCACATTCTTGATGCCATTTGAAAGGAAACACTGAAGTTTGTGGAAATGTAAAAGTAATGTAGGAGAATAACACATTAGATCTGGTAAAAGATAAACAAAAAAACATGCGTTTTTCTATTGGTTTTTGTTCCATCATCTTTGAAATGCAAGAGAAAGGCCACCATATAATATTGCAGTTTAGGCGCAATTTAGATTTCGGCCACTAGATGGCAGCAGTGTGTGTGCAAAGTTTTAGATTGATCCAGTGAAGCGTTGCAATACTGGACTATTTTGTATCAAGTCTGCCCAAATGTGCAGAATTGGTCAATTGATACATTTAAGTACATAACTATAGAAAACATACATTTTGTATTACCATATCATTTTTGTAAGTTTACACACTCCCAGGAATGTCATACATGATGGATCATTAGCTTATACACTAACTTTCACACATCTAGATGGCCGGGCGGGGTGGGTGTGGAACCAGAGACAGCAGGGATTCGATCTGTAGAACCCAGTTCCTACATTTGAATATAAAAATGGATTTTATCAAACAAAACTGCTACATTTTATCTCTGGGACTCTTAGGATGACA